GACAGTAAAATAGTACGTCAGGAGAAACAGCAGAGGCTCAGTTGCTGAACACAGACAAAACGAGGCTGGACCCAGCCTGGAGTAGCATGCTGTCATAAGATCTTTGACTCTTAGAAATATAGAGGGGCGGTTTCACCCCCATCTTCTTATCTGCCTAATAAAAGAAGTGTGTGTGTGCTAGCCGATGATGAAACAAATAAACAGATTTAAATTGCCACTAGTCCTATATAACACAAGACATATGTAGTAAATTTCAGGTTTAGGTTTAAAAATAAAGCACTGACAAATATTAAAAGATGTTTTTACTGTTAGAAATGCACAGAACTTGTAATATACAGAATATACAGGTTCATAACAAGTTGAAATTGCAGATATGTCTTAGTGTGTAGTTTGAAGTGTAAGTTCCATCAGTGTGACTGTCTTTCATGGTTAAATGAGGTGACTGACAGCAGACAGGGAGACTCTTTTCCAAATTCAGACTTCTTCCTTGTGATGTTGTGAGAGAGAATGGGATGTGAAAACATCCATGTCTGTGAACAGACCCATGCTAATACAGATATGCCTAAACTTCCAAGGTAACAATCAGATTTTATGTTTCTTGTCTGTGAGAGGATAGAGAAGAACAGCCCTCCATTAGTTCGTAGCCAAAACCATAAGGGCTGGCAACACTTGAAGTCAACCTTAGGTTTTTTTCTGGAAATGAATGGATGGTGAGATATACCAGTTGATTTCTAGCCAACACCAGCAGCTTTAAACAGTTCATGTATTACTTTTCACTGAAGTTGGCTATAGGCAGCAAACACTGCAGAACAGGGGCAGCACTGACCACTTTTAGTGATTTGTGAGAGCAGTAACACTTTGATGGTTTGTGTTGCGCTACAAAACAGTTTGATTCTTCACCATGATGTTGATCACGAATTAAAGAGCACAGCTGTGTGAAGCCATCTATATGGCACACTTCAGTGAGTACTGAAAGCAGCGAAGGCTGGTTTCCCATGGGGGTGTCTTAGGGTGATAGGCTGCTTTTTTTTTTTTTCAACTTTATTAGACCGAAACAGAAAATAAAGGCAGGAGAGCCACCTTGACTGGGGAACATATTCTTTGGTGGCTAATAAGCTCTGATTAAGACTTCATTGCTTTAGAGCATTTGTAGCATCCTCCTCCTATGAGGTTTCTCTGTCTAATAAAAGACAAGCTTACACTGCAGGCTTTTTCCTCAATAGGGAAATAATAAGGTATCTCATAGCTATGTAACTGCCCATTGTCGCAAAACTAGCTGGAAGTGGATGTGTTTGAGACCTTGTGCCCATTGCTACAGCATATAGGGAAAACAGGTTGTCGATATTAGTATGCTCTTAGCTACAAAGAGGTGGGCTACTTGGGCAAAGAACTAAAAGATGCAAGGTCTCCTACTGAAGTGTTCTCAAGGACAATCTGATTGGCAGCTTTTTCTTCTCCTGTGTAATGGGTTTTCTGTAATGTAGCTAAATCTTTCCTGTATATGTATTTTCTTGAGGATTATTCCAAGGCAGTCAAAATGGAAACAGTCTCGAGCCTTTCTTTTGCACTCTGTGTGCCAGTTGTATTTGACTTGGTCTTCTGTAACAAAACCCTAGTTAGTCTGCATGTCCTTGTAAAACAGCAGAGATGCTGCTGTATTTGGAGTCATCCTAAGCAAAGAGCGTATGTAGCAGTGTACCCAGAGAGCAGGAGGTTACACTGCCAGATAAATGTCCTTTCACCAAGGAGGGAGGAAAATCCTCTGGGAGCGATGGCTGCGTGAGCTGTTCTGACGAGGTGGACAGGAGCTGCCTGACGTTGGTGTGTTGTTGTCTTTTCCCTCTGCTGCTGAATCTCTGCCAGGTGTGGAGGGCCCGCACGAGATGTCATTTTGTGGACCTTTCAGTAGCGTAGCAACTGACATCGCTTCCCACTGCTCGGTCCCCTCCGCTTGGCTCCCTCAGCTATGCTGGATCAGGAACTGAACTAACTTTAAAAACAACCCTGCAAAACAGGAGAAGTTGTAGGAGGATTTATTTTTAACTGGGATATCTCTGTTCTCTGAACCATCTCTTTATGTGGTCCTCGGGACTGGCATAACTAGGGAGCTCTTGAAGTAGGGGTGGGACAACAAGTGAGGAAGAAGAAGAGAGGGGAGGAGAATTGGGAGAAAGGTCTGCTGGTTCCTGGCTTCAGAATTCGAGCACAAATTCAGAGGCAGCCCTGTGAACGCTTTCAGCCCAAATGCTGGTGGAGTACAGCTTCAGTAATGATCTGCAGTCAGAGGAGTAATCAGTAATTAGTACTGAAGTCCTTTCAGTTTCACTCTGTTGACCAGAGAAGGGGAAAGGGGAAAGTCAAATTTAAGGAAGGGGATGGAATTTTCTTTGAAATTTTTGTGCTCCTATGCTGCCTGTAACAGTTCAGGGAGCTGACCTGCAGCATCTTCAGCATAGCACAGGCTAGCGAGTGTTGTGCTTCTATGACAACAGCCCCGCGTTCTGTGCAAGTATCATTTGATCTTATTTTCTGCATTGTGCTTCTGACAAAGCTGCTCTAGCTGGCCGGATTCTGTAATTGCTTTTTTAACTGAGATCTGAAAGTCGCATTTGTAGCCAGGTACACTTTTGATTATAGCAATCTAGGGGGGGTTAATGGAAGCAGCAGTGTTTCATTTAAAAGATCGGCTTAGAGTGTGTGGATGGATTCTGTGAAGGCAGGGCTAGAAAAAAGATATTGATTCCTGTATGATTAGTGGAATATTTCTTTGTTAAAGGTCTACCTCTGAATCTTTAAATGACCAGGCTGCAAGTGGTGAGGGCATCTCACTTTTTCAAGCCTCTGTGAGTGGAATGGAGAAGTAGAGATTTAAAAATTTTTTTTCTTCTTTAGCAAGCACACATGTGTTCTCAATGACATTTGTGGAAGTTGTGTATGAGGAGGGCAGATTACGCAAATAGGTAACTTCTGACTGTCTTCCAGCTTGGTGATGGTACAAATCAACTAATCATCTGGATTCACAATTTTTGCAGCTGAGATTTCTAACATCTGAAGTCAGGCAGGGAGCGCATTGGCCTGAGTGTGTGCATGGAAGTCAGTTGGATGTTGAATTCTTCATTTTAGAAATTACTGTTATGAACCACAAGACATGGGTCGAAGAGCCCTTTTCTGATACACTGATGAGAAGAAAATTTGTACTTGTTTTTTCTGGAGTGCTTGCAAAGGACTGCCGCCTTACTGAATAGCAGCTGAAGTTCAGGACAGCATGTATCAGAATTGTGTTGTATCCTACAAAGAATCACTTGTAGGAAGGTTTTACTGCATTCAGTGCAGCTGTTGACTATTGAGCTAGTGATAAAATTCTTCAGAAACTGTCTGTGTTAATACAGTCTGTGAATGAAACATCTGCTGCACCAGCCCTTTTCTGTGTGAGAAAGTTGCATGTGTTTAATCAGAGATAGACTGTCATGCATATTTTACTGAAGTTTAAACTGGGTTGGTTTTGGTTTGTTGCTCCTCTGTTGGGAATTTAAGTTAAATAGTCATCCCAATTTAAATTGCCTTTGGATAGCACTTTGGTTTGCGGCTGTTTAACTACAGTGAGTTTTGAACTGTTTGTTTTGGGTTTTTTTGAGTGAGTGGAGACCTGTGTGCAGGTGAGACTTGCTGAGAAGGAAAGTATTTGGGCACATGGTGAGAGTAGACATTGGTGGGAGTTTTGTTCCCAGAGGTGCCCATGAATCTGAGTGGAGACGAAAATTAACTTATTTCTTTGGATGCTGGGGGAAGAAGAGACTTCAGTCTCCACTCAGTGCTTTCTGACACTGCACGCAAGTAGCACATGTCCTAGTTTGGATGAGTAGCTGCTGATCAATCCCATGCTGTTGCCCCAATATACACAACCCCATGACTGGTTGTAAAGAGCCGAGACCTTTGTTTGTTTGATGTGAGGTAGATCTTGAAACAGCGTTAGAGATGAAAAGTGTGGTACATCTGTTAAAAGGTAAAGTTTCCTTTTTCTCCTCCCTGTAGTAATTTGGTCTGTGTGGTTGTCTTCTGCTCTGTACAGAGAGATATGAAAAGTCAGGGCCTTGCCTTCTGCCATGGAGTGTCTGAGCTGCATGTGTTAAAGCAGCCAGGGCCGCTCATTCTGCAGTTGTTTTTTTGTTTCTGAATCCAGTTCAAGGTGACAAGAGGAGGAGGGATCTCTGAGGCTGCATCTTCCCCCTACCCACTAACATCCAACTCTCACGTCCCCATAATAAAAAGAGATACTTTATTCATTCTAAATACTGCATGCAGCTGCACTGAACCCTCATGTTTTATGCAGGTGCTGTTTATTTTAATTGCAGTCTTGAGAGTAGATAAGTGTTGGATGGATTCAAAGTTTTCAGCTAAAATTCCTGGTGTTTCATCTCCTGTTGCTGGGTTGTTGTGATTTTTTTTTTTTTTTTCCTTCTTCTGTATTCTATAAATGCTGAGGACAGAATTTTTCGAAGGATAAAATGGTGGTGGTGCATGTGCTAGAAATGCAGATTTTCCCTAGCAGTCATAAAAGGAATTATTTAGGTTTACCTGCCTTGGAGACTGCTTAATGAATTGCATAGTGGGATGCACTGTCAAAGATTTTAGTTCTTGGTTGCAGTACTCCAGTTTATTGGAGCAACAGAAGTGGCACCCTGCCACCGGAGTAAAGAATGGTGTTTCCCCACTAGTATTTGAACAATCTGCAATAGCCATCTGTTATTCTTTTAAACACAAAGCAGTGCAACAGGTGTGTTTCTTGGGTTTGGAAATCTTACCAGTACAAGTGGATAATAGAAATTTAAAGCTAGGATTTAAAAGAAGATTTCAAGGTGTGTTCCTCTTTATTCAGCGGCTATAGTGGCTATGATATTAGAAAGGAGAGAGATAAGCTAAACATATGGCACACAGTTAAGGAAAACAAATGCTGAACTGCTCTTAAATCTGTTCTTTTTCAATATTTGTCATTTTCTTAGATGGCTTCAGTGACAGATGCCAGATACAGGCAGAAAGACACTTCAGATCAGAATTTTGATTACATGTTCAAACTCCTGATCATTGGCAACAGCAGCGTGGGTAAAACATCCTTCCTCTTCAGATATGCCGATGACACTTTCACACCAGCCTTCGTTAGCACAGTAGGAATTGACTTCAAAGTGAAAACAGTTTATAGGAATGACAAGCGGGTGAAACTGCAGATTTGGGTAAGTGCCAGTGTTTTCAAAAATGCTTTATATTAATCCCAGCAAAAATATGATGGTAAAAATAGTCTGTTTGAAAGTAGATTTTAGGATTAATATAGATTTTGATTGTTCATAAGTTTTGTGCAGCTGTATCATTTGTATCCCTGCAGTATAGCTGAGTAAGATCTCTTTGTATTGCTGTCTTGCTGAACTGTTGGGACTCCTGACGTGGTCTTAAGCAGCTGCTGTACATTCTCGGGAGTCAGTGTGCTACTAAACTGCAACAAACCCAAAGCGGGTCTGGAGCTCTTTAGTAGCACTTTTTGAGTGAGCGCTAGTAGGTGAAGAAATTCACTGAGCACTCAATGGGTGAACTCAACACATAGCTTCTACTATCAGCTTAGCCCTCCAAATAAGATACTTGTATCTTCCTGCAACTTGTGTACCTGCTCAGCAGCTCCAGGCCAGCTCAATTCATCCATCCAGGATTCCTCAGGGGGAAGACAGAGGTATGCTTCAAACAATCTCTGCTGATGCAACTTCTTGGTAAATCAAATAGGAAGAGAACTTGTGCAGGTAAGCTGGAGGCTTCCTCTGCTCAAACACCCAGTTATGGGACCTTTTCAGCCGTTTTGAATTACAGCATCCTAACCTAAGCAAAAAAACCCCCAAGTTCCTGAGCTGCCAAGTGGCAGACCAAGGCTGAGCAATTGTCAGTAGCTCCTGATGTTCCTTTATGGAAGGCAAGTGTTTTCTTTTATTCTGCTTGCTGGCAAATTACTTAAACCCTGTGGTGCAAATGCAATTTATCCTGATGATGCTTAAACCCTCTGTGTCCCAGTGAATTACTCAGCATGTTTAAAAAACCTAGGCTCAGATTGCTGTGTTTTAAAGTACCACAGGGCTCCAGCTGGAATCCCAGTTAGCAAGATTCTTCTCTTCTCTTTTGCATAAAAAGAAAAGATCTCAAATGGAAGATACGAGGCTAATATTCTCTTAAACAATTTCAAAGGAGTTAGCTTACTAACTCGAAGTAGCTGCCTACTTAGAGGTTTCTCCCACAAGTTAAGTTCAGAGTTGAAGATGAGTTGAAACTGTATAGCATCGCTACCCAAATACTGCCCCAGCTAAGAGCATGGTCTTCTGATTCATCTGTATACACTTGATTTATAATTAATCTTTAATTACTGCATTTAAACATAATATATAGTAATCCCATTGGGTTTTTTTATTTGTTGTGGTCATCTTGAATAGTCACAATAAATTAGTGAGAATCTAAAATGAGGAATTTTTTTTTTTTACTGCAACAATATGATTAATTTTATTTCTGTGTTGCCAGGTACAAGGTACAACAAATTATTTAATGAAGGATCCTTTTCACGTTGCAAAATTCTGGCATTGAAACTAATGTAGATAACCTAACATGAAACTGTTTGATTTAATTTAAGGTTTAGGTAATAAGTATGTTTGTACTTCAGGCCCCATAAGCAGCTAAAGATGATTTCCATCCAATTTGTTTTTCTTGATCTCGGAACACAAAATTCTCTAAGTTATGTAAAAACAAGACAGAAAGCATCATGAAATATTTGGGGTTTTTTGCAAAGATACTAAGATTAAAATTAGTTAAGCAATAATCTTAATTAAATCTATTTGAAGGCTTTGGGGGGAACAAGGCTTTAATAACCTTAAACTTCTTATGAAAAGAGATGTCAAGTGGATTCCTCAAAGGGTGCTGTCTATAGGACCTGTAATATTGGAGTTACCAACAACACTCTTGGTTTAAAATTTATTTTCAATAAAAGGTTAATGTAAGTGTTTGACAGTTTCCAGAGTGACTTGTGTTCTTTTCTTCTCTTTTTCTGTGCTCCTTGCATGGATCCCTGATGTGAGTTATGTTTAAGGACCTTACACACTTAGTGTTTTTGTTATCTCCGTAAAAAACACAGTATTTGAACTTCTTTACCTCCTGCCTGTCCTGAGACTAAACTTGTAATTTCAATGTATTCTTTAGGGTACAGGTAAAAGTAGTGGGAGCCATTAGCATACCAAAACTATGCTTTCCTATGTGCAGGAAGGAAGAGTTTTCTTACTAACCTGTCTTCCAACTGCTTTTGTAAATGATTTGCAGCTGCTGTTGCGTTTCTGTGAGTGTGGAACCCTGCGGCTCCATTGAACACTTTGCTTTTACTTACAACTTTCCAGCTATGTTGATATTTATTTTTTTTAATTAAGCTTTAAGTCTTACCTGAATCAAGTTTAATGTGAAACTAAGTGAAGAAGGACAAGGTACGAGTGTTTAAATTAACCACTTCAAATGTCTTTATAAAATCCAGAGAGGAGCACTTCTAGGAGCCTCTAATGTTCTCTGCTCCATGGAGCCAGGTCTGTCTTAGTTTGTGGGTACTTGGGGAGCCCTTAAGTGTATGTGGCTGTGGCAGACTGGAAGTGCTCAAGGACTGCATACAAATAACCTTGTTTTGTGTCCTACAAATCTCAAGGTGGTAGGGAAGTTACTACTGCTGTGCTGTGATCCAGAGAAATCAGTGATCAGTGGGACTTTCTATGTTGACTTTAGCCTATGTTGAACAGAAGAGCAGAATATTTGGGTGTAAGATCCCAGCTACAAAGAGCTCCTTGAGTTTTCTTAAAGCTAAGAAAAATTCACGTCACTTCAAGTGCCAAGCAGCTGCATGTAAAGACTAACAGTGTGTTGCTGTGTCAGTAAATGTCTTTCTGGCCTGTCTCACGGTTAGTATCTCCAGTAGAAACTAATGAGTGTTTTTAAGCTAGAGATCTAACTTTTGTTTGTGCTGAGTGTGAGGAAGTCCATATTTTGTGAATCAGTATTTGACAAGCTGTCAAATGTAATGATCAAAAAAAGAGTGCTGCCCTGGTTAATTTTGATGTCATTAGTGGGCCTCTTGCTTTGTTGATATTAACACCTCTGTCACCCAAATTGATATTTTAATAAGAGTCCTATCAGTTGTGCTGATGACCTAGCAGTCTTGGAAGTGATCTGCTTTGAAAAGACTTGAAAGGAAGATCTCTTGAGTTTAAGAGAAATAGGACATAGCAAAGATATTGATGCTGGTTTTAAGGCAGAATGATAGTTCTGCTAGAGAACAAAACAGTAAAATGGTCCAGAGAGGGGTTATGTGAACTAAAGTTTTGTAGGCTTGTTTTTTTTTTTCTTTAAAGAACTCCAAGATCAGCTGACTGTGTTTTTAATTTCACATCTTTTTCTGTCCTGTTTAGGAATGGTGGCTTTATGTAAATAGAGTAAATGACATTTACTGAGACAGTTCATTTTGTAGTTGGATGAGGTTTGGTAATTTAAACATTTGTACTTAGAACACCTATATAATATATGAATATATTTAATATCTACATAAATGTAATTCTTGGATTAGATTTTTTTTTATAACACTGCCATCTGTATTAAAGCTTTCATATAAAGCATCTCCCTTATGATGTATTTGTAAGGAGCCAATTTATAGTGTGTCCCTGAATTTGAGGTGTACATGTGGATTATTTCTTTCTTGACCAACAGTTTTGTATTCCCGGAGTTGCTAATTACTGATTACTGAAGGAAAGCTATTATATTTTCAGCTAGGTATAGTTTTTATTATAAATAAATCTCAAAGGTAACATTATATTCTTAGCAAACGCATACAGTTAATACTCAATGCAGCGTTCAGGTTGCCTAGCAGCTAGAGAAGGCCACTTTGTCCTGATCCAGATGGAAGCAAGGTGAATGAATGAAAGTGATTTGGGTTTTAGGCAAGAGCAATGTGAGACTTCTTTTTTTTCCTCCTTCTGTGCATTTGTGTGTCTATTGGTGGTAAGTAATAATAACAGCAGAACTCTTCAGCAATGTAGCATTGAGGTTAACTGCTGAGGGGCAAACTCTGGTACTTTGTGCTGGCCCATTCTAGGTTAATTCCATGAGCCCTTTGGATAGTAACACAAATTTACTGATGGAAAATCATTGGCAGTGTTTAGCCCAAAACACTTGCACACCACAACACTTTGCAGACCACACAATATATACTTCCTTTATACTTTTGTACAGCACCCTACACAATGGAGTCTCATTTTTTTTTGCACATACTACACATAACACATACATCTATGTGATTAACAATAAACATAACTAAATACAGGAGTTGGCAGCTGATGTTACAGTTGAAACTACTTTCAAACCCCTTTTTTTAAAGGCAAATAGAGGTTAAATTTAACTTCAAGTTAAAAGGCAAAAAGGATGTGGTGTTCAGATGGAGACAGCATATTTAGACTGTAGCATGATTTTTCTTTTAAGATGCTGCTTATCAGATTTAAACCGCTAGGAAGAGTATGGCTTTTTCTTTCCCATTAACAAGAATGTTTCCATGGCTTAACTGCTGTAACCTGTAGGGGTCTGAGATTAGCTGTAGTGGATGTCTGAAACGTGTTACAGCTTTCAGACACAGCTGGGAAGAGGGTTCAAATCAACATCGCTCTGTTTTTGTGGGAAGGATCTTTACAAACAGAAATATGACAACTGCTAATTATGCTGAGTGGCACTTACCATTACAAAACAAAAAAAGTGTAAACCAAAATAAAACCCAAGCTGTGTAGCTGTCCAGAAGGCAAATATGCAATGTTTTTAAAAGCTTTTTGTATCAGTTGTTGCCTGGATGACAGGATGTTAATGTGCAGCTTGCCTCATAGGGAAGGGATTCAAAGAAGTAACACTGGTAACTAAGTTCATTTTTTTCATTTAAAGGAGCTGAAATTAGAATGCCGTCATACTTGATTGTAAATTTTAATGTTAATTGCACACTTAACCAAAAGCTAATTATGCATTTCAGATGCGAGAATCATCTATTCCCCTGGCATCCCATTCCCATCATGTTTTTGCTAAGCTCCTTATAAGTACCGACTTTAGACTTGAATGCTTGCACAAAACTTATTTCTAAAAAAAGAGATAATAAGGGTTCTGTAATTTAATATATAGATGCAATAGTGACAGATGTCTGTAA